ATCCAGGACTCCAACTGGAAGTGACACAAGTCACAGGTCAATGGCCAGAATGAGTTACATAGCAGCCCCACCCAATCACAGATTGGCCAGGAGATGCCATCTTAACATGTGCTCAGAAGGAGGGAGAGCCAGAAGGATTCGGTGAACAGCACCAAGGACATCTCACAACAGTGCCAGCCAGAGTTCCCACAACAAAACAGGGCACCCCAGCAGGGCACCCAGAGGGCCACCGTCCGCCAGAGGAATTGGAGGTGGAAATTAAATTGCATGACCTCAATGTCTCACCCCTGCCCATGTCCAGATCTTAATTAGCCAGAGCAGAGACAACTGCAGGCATAAGCCCAGCACCCACATGTCCTTAGCTCTTTCTGGGTCTGAAATGGAAATTCCAGGAGTTGTTTTGTTTATGGAGTTAGCTCTGCCACCTACAAGCAGATAAGAATCACCATTGGGGGGTGGGGATGTGGCTCAAGTGGTAGTGAGCTCGCTTGGCGTGCTGTGCCCAGGGTTCGACCCTCAGCACCACATACAAACAAAGATGTTGTGTCCGCCAAAAACTAAAAAAAAAAAATAAATATTAAAATTCTCTCTCTTTAAAAAAAAAAAAAAAGAATCGCCATTGGCAGTTAGCATTTAGAAGCTCAGCCCCTGGGCAGGAATTTGCTTTCTTTTGAACCAAGTATGCTAACCCAAGGAAGGGGCCAGGACAGTTTACCTTCCTGGGCTGGGGTGTGGCTCAGTGGTAGAGTGCTTATTTAGCACATGTGAAGCTCTGGGCTCAATCCTCAGCACCACATAAAAATTAATTAATTAATTAGTAAGTTAATTAATTAATTAAAGGTATTTAAAAAGAGAGAGAGTTTACCTTCCTTGCAACAGGGAAAACACAGCCTGTCCTCCTCTGCTGTTGACATTTGAGGGATATAATTGCTAATTTCAGGAGTTTATCTACAGGGCCTAGAGGAGAGCCTGTGACATGCCTGGTACTTCAGTCATTCAACAGATATTTAGCAAATCTAAATAAATAAATCTAAATAAATATTTAGCAAATCTAGCAGTTTGCTTGGTTGAGAGCCCAGGCTTTGAATCCTGGCACCACCAGCACTGCCCCTGAGTGGTTTGGGATGAGTTTACTTAATATTTCTGTGCCTTTATTTCCTCATCTATAAAATGGGGAATCTAATGGTAATAATCTTATGTTACAAAAATTAAATTAGATATTACTGTAAAGTGTTCTGTACAGCACCACTGTTCATTATCAATCTGAAAGTGCAAATTTCAGATTATCATTTAGAATTCTGTTTCTGGTTAAGGTAGACTAGCTCTCGTATCAGACCAATTCACCACTGAGAATAACTAAAAAAGCTGGATTTAGTATTTAAGAAATTTATTTAAAGGCACAGGAGAGCTACAGAGACAACAGGGACTTGAGGGAGGCAAGATCTTGGGGAAGAGTTACATCCCCAGCCCTTTTTATTTATTTATTTTTTTATTTTGAGACAGGGTCTCACAATAGGGACTTGAGGGAGGCAAGATCTTGGGAAGAAAAGAAATAATAACTGAAATTAAGAACTCAATAGACAGCTAGGAGTGGTGGCACACACTTGTAATCTCAGCCATTTAGGAGGCTAAGGCAGGAGAATCACAAGTTCCAGGCCAGACTCTGCAACTTAGTGGGGCCCTGTCTCAAAATAAAAAATAAAAAGGTTTGGGATTTAATCAGTGATAAAGTAACCCTGGATTCAATCCTCCATATCACAGAAAAGGGGAAAAAAAGAACTCAAGAGATGAATTTAACAGTAGGGGAAGACACTTGTGAAGAAAAGGTTAGAGAACTGGTTGATAAATCAGAAGAAAAATATCCAGACAGAAACAGAGGGGAGGGGGAAGCCTGGAAAAATACAGAATAGAGTGTGAGAGGCATGTGGAACAAAACTGGATGGTTGAACATATGTGCAACAGGGCCCCAAAAGGAGAGGTGAGAGAAAATTGGGAAAAAGAATGTCTGAAATTTTCTCATACTGGGGGTAGATGTTGACCCACATGTTGTAGAAGTACCAGGAACCCACGAAGGATAAATTAAACACACACACACAGACACACACACACACACACAGTTTAGCATATCATAGTAAAACTGCTGAAACCCAAAGACAAAAAAATTCCCTAAAAGGGAAAAAAATGAGATATTTGGGTCTTTCAGCCACCTCACCAACCAGCTTTCTAGTCTTTCATGAAGTGTGATGAAGGTCCAGACTCTGCCCCCTCTACCAGAGACACACTCAGCCTCAGAGGGAACCTTCCCCACAGAAAGATATCACTGTTAGCCGGGCACAATGGCACAGAGGGCGCTGAGGCAGGAGGATCGCGGGTTTATAAGCAACTCAGGGAGACCCTGTATCTAATAATATAAAAAAGGGCTGGAGATGTGATTCAGTGATTAAGCGTCCCTGAGTTCAAACCTTGGTACCAACAATAAATAAAATAAAAATAAAAATCCCACCTTTGCCAGATAATGTTAGATATTGATAATTAAAGGGAGTGAGTGTTTTGAAAGGAAATCTCACAGCCTCTTCTGAGCATCAGACCTTTGTCTTTAAAATGAAGCAATATTGTGCATAGTGTGGCCCAGATATCTGCTCTCTTACTCTGGTTTTAGGTTGTCTTTTCTTCCTTTTACTCCAACTACCAGAGCCCAATCCTCTCTGAGCCTCAATTTCCTCAGTTGTAAATGTGGGTATTAGTAAGTGTCATGCAGTTGTAGGGATTAAATGATATCATGGATATAAAAGTTCTTTGCAAACTGTAAACTGCTGTATCCCTTTAGTTGTTGCTATTGCTGCCTGGCAGAACCAGCAGCAGCGGGTTAAAAGAGATGGCTCGTGCATGTGTGACACTTCCCAAGGAATCTATGGTTTACCCATGACTGACCTGAAGGGTCTACATGAGCTTTCTTTGCCAGGATTTTGGGATTTCTGACTTCCTGCCAGCTTGGTGTGGCAGCAAGATGATTCTTGGTTGGAGTGAGTCCCAGTAGAAATGCCACCTGTCAGCATAGTGCCAGGAGGGGGAGCCCTGGAGTCATCAGATCTGGAGGCCTGGAGGTGATCCTCCAAGCCCTCTGACCTGCTTGAGCTGCCCCTTCCTGATACTATCTCTCATTTTCGTTCACCTAGTCATCAAGCTTTTTCCAATCCCAAAGTGTGCGGCTTTGGAGACAGTCAGGAAGACACCTCCAATTGGAAGGCCGACCAACTTTTCTGTTTCCATACATGACATGACCAGCTTCTCAGATCTGAGATGTAATAACTCGCCCTCAAGGGCATGGTTAATGTTTAATCAGCACTGTCCTAAGAACTTTATTTAACTTTATTTAGTTTAAAGCATTTAATTATTACTATACCTTGTAAGGCTGATTCTATTATTATTATTATTATATTATATTTTTTAGTCATTGATGGACCTTTATTTAATTTATTTATTTGTATGTGGTGCTGAGAATTGAACCCAGGGCCTCACACGTGCCAGACAAGCACTCTACCTCTTAGCCACCACCCCGGCCTCTGATCTATTATTAACCCCATGTCACATGTGATAATCCTGAACACAGAACATGGGGCCTCTTGTCCTGGTCACCCTCCCTGTTCCTCACTCTCCATGCTCTGACCCCATTTGTGCTACCATCTGATTACTCCCCTACCTAACCAGGACCCTTCACTGACACTTTTTCTGACATACATAAATAGAGTATAACTTATTTGGTTGTACAAGATGTAGAGTTACACAGGTCATGTAATCATATATGCACCTAGGGTAATAATGTCCAATTAATTCTACTCCTATCATTCCTACCCCCATACCCCCTTTCCCTCCTTCATTACCCTCTGTTTAGTCCGGAAATATAACTATTCTCCCCCTCCCCTTGTGAATTAGCATCCACATATCATTCATAGGCCCTGGATCTTGGATAAAGTACTAGACCTTTCCTGAGCATCAACTGATTGTTTTCTTCCTTCCTTTCTCCTCCTCCTCCTCCTTCTTCTTTGTTTTGTGTTGTGTTTTGTTTTGTTTATTGAACTAGAACCCAGAAGCACTTTACTTTTTTTCAGATTCTCATCTAGAATTCTGTTTCGGGCTAAGGTAGGCTAGCTTGTATCAGACCAACTCACCACTGAGAATAACTAAAAAAAACTGGATCTAGTATTTAAGAAATTTATTTAAAGGCACAGGAGAGCTACAGAGACAACAGGGACTTGAGGGAGGCAAGATCTTGGGGAAGAGTTACATCCCCAGCCCTTTTTATTTTATTTTATTTTATTTATGTTTTGAGACAGGGTCTCACAATAGGGACTTGAGGGAGGCAAGATCTTGGGGATGAGTTACATTCCCATCCCTTTTTATTTTTTAAATTGCCTCCAGTTTCACTAATATGCTAGGCCGACCTGGAACCTGCATCCTCCTGCTCCAGAGTTGCTGGGATTACAGGCCTGCTCCACTGTGTAGGGCTAAACTTCATTTCCTTCATCTGAGTAAGGAGGGGCTAGATCAAATGATCTCCAGGCAGAGTTGGAGGTGGAGTTGTCAAAAACCCAAGAGCTGTGTCCTCTGACTATAACTATTGAGAGTGATGATAATGATCATTTAATAAGTACCCTGCTGAGGGTTTCACAGCGATTCACTCTCTTAATTTAATTCTCCCAGGAAGGCTTCTTGGAGGCGCTGGGTGGAGAGAGAGCGAATGGCAAAATTAGCGGTGAGGGACTCCAGGAGTTAGGTGGGGGAAACAGGCTGACTATACATATGAGGTGGGTTGTTTCCCAGAGGCAAAAGCAGAGGCAGGGGTCTGCCCAAGATGACCTCTTCACTCCCAGGCACATAATGTAGCCAGGGAACTGAGCTGAGATGCTCCACTGACTCACCCTCTCTGTGTGCTCACAGGATCATCGTGAGCTCCCCGCTGGCTGGAGGGATCTTGATGCGTGCCAGGCGTGCTCAGGCCGATGCCGCCCACAAAGAAAAAGAAGAGCAAGGGACCTGTGGCTCCCGCGCCCGCCGGCCATGCCCAGGGCCGGTTGCCAGGCCTACCGTCACCCGCGCTGTGCTGCGCCTGCGGTCTGTGCGTGCTGCTGGCGGGTGTGAACGTGACGCTAGTGGGTGCGTTCGCCTCCTTCCTGCCAGGGCACAATGTGCCACTGATCGTAGGGCCGGCGCTACTAGTGCTGGCGCTCGGTTTTTTCGCAACCTGCTGCGTGTGTAGCCGCCGGGGCCCTGCGCTCCGCACGCGCTCCTTGGAAGCGGCGGCCCGGGGCCAGAATGGCGGGCGCGCGGGGCCAGTGGCGCTGGAGATGGAAAGCAGCGAGCGCACAGCGCAGGACACCACGGCCGTACAGCTCAGCCCCGCTGCCTCGGCCGCGTCCTCTGGCCGCTCCAGCCCGGGCCCGGGCCCCGGCCTCTTCAGCCTGGACGCGCCCGCGCCCACAGCAGTTTGTGTGCCGCGGCCCGAAGGGACGCAGCTCAACCTGCCCCGGGAGCTGTCCGCCTCCTAGCGGACCAAGGCCTCTGTCCATTCCCCTGTCTGGGTTCCCTCCATCCTGTGTCACTTAAACAAAAACTAGAAGAGGGGGGCTTTAATTTTTTCTCCATAAGGAACCAGTCCTAGGCACAGGTGGCCTCACCTGTCTCATTTCTGAACTTCTGGAGGGAAGAATGTGGTGATGGTGTCAGGGCTCAAATCCTAAAGAAATGAGCAGCCTTGGCCCCTTAGATAGGGTCTCTGCGTCCTATCTCACCTCACCCCCCCCCCCAGAGACTTGATGAAGCTGGACTCCTGGACCTTGGAAGCTGACCCCACCCACAGTATTTGGGCATGTGGAAAAAGAACCATCAAGCGGCTCTGGCTACCAGCAAGGCCCCTGTCCCCAAGCGGGTAGAAGGGAGGAACTCAGCCCTAACTTGCTCCATCTCTTCACACTGAAAGTCATCTAGGCCCTCCTCTGCCCCTCCCCTACTTCCTTGTCTCTACCCCAACATGATCTTTGGGATTCATTTGGGAGGAGAGATTCTGACTTCAGCCATGAATGGGTAGAGCCGAGCAGAGCACTCCCTGCCATTCTGTCTGACCCCCACAGTGTGAGTCCTGCCAAGGATGAGTGCTGAGGGGGATTCTCCAATCCTGAAGGTCCCAGTGATCTTCACTGCCAACAATGCTGCCACCTTCACTGTGCCACACCTTATGTTCCCACTCCTCAATAAAGCACCTTTGGAGTCAGTCCTCTTTGGTGTGCAAGCAAGCTGGAGGGAGCTTGCTATGGGCCTCTTGTTGTGGGGCCTCTGACTGAGCACTTGGGTTCTGGGCCCCTGCCAGCCAGTGGCCAAACCACCCTTCAGCATCCTAGCACTAGCTCTTCTTGGAGACCTAGAAAGGGGTCCTTGGGGAAAGGAGTGTGTGTCTGTGAATGTCTTTGGGAATGGGTGTGTCACACCTGGGGCTGGATGAACGTAGGAGTGCGGCTGTGGGTGCAATTGCCTGGCTCCTGTAGGAGATGAGGAGTGCAGTGTTTGGTAACTGTCAATATCACACATGTTGCGGGAGTATGGGAGGGGTAGATAGTTGAGGGCATGACCACCCAGCATGCATGGGGCGGGGAGAGAGCCACCTATGTAAAGTCTGGACCTTTCTCTGGGGCTGGCTGGGCTTACAGAGTTTGGGTTCAGCCTGTGGTCTGTCCTGGCAGTCAAGGGCACCTGGTCGAGGAATGGGGGCTGCCTTGTAATTAGAACAAGGGAACTGGTGGGAAAATCCTGTGATCCCTTCCCACTTGCAGGGATCCAGGCAAGCAGTGATGGTGGTACACACTGGCCCCCCACCCCTCGGGGAACATGACTCCCTGCCCTTGGCTTCATCAGTTTCCTTTTCCAAGGTGGGCTCTGCTGCCCTCCTGCCATAGCCCGGGTACTTCCCACAGGAAGAGCGCTGTCCTTCGTCTGACACCATCTCAGTCCTCCTGTCCTGCTGTCTCCCTCTCCCACTAAGAGTGTTACAAGTCTGTCAGTAGGTGCTGAGCAGCTCATCTCCATTGGTTCTAATGGGGGGGGGGCTAACCTTTGAAGCACCCAGCCCCTGGAGTTGATGGCCTCTTCTCAGCACTTCCCCACCACCACCATGTATGTGTGAGTCCATCTCTTTGGGCTCATCCTCTCATCTGGTTCACTGGTCTGTAGCTGCCTGAGGCCACCCGCTGCCTTAGTAGAACAGACAGTGTAGGGCCACTGCTGATGCTGCCATGGGGTGGTCTGGATCCCCCTTCTCCCACCACCTTCTTAGGAGACTCCCCCAGATTCACCCCCATCCCAGTGCCAGGCTCAGCCCAAGCCCCTCTCCCACCTGCTGGCAGACGCCTGAATTACACTCTCAGGGCACCTTCCTCTTCTACAAGATGACTTTCAGATCTTGCCATGGGAGCTGGCTGCTGGGCAGGAAGAGTGAGCGTCAGATGAGGATCCAGGACATAGGCCACAGATTAACAGATCAACAATGGGAGCAGAATGCAGAGAGAGTGGGGAGAGTCATTGGCTCCCTGCAGTCCCCTCAGCTGCCACCAGCTGAAAGGTCCTTATTTATCTCATCTGGGCTCCTCCCACTTCTTAGGTACACCAGGAGAGAGTCTCTTCACCCAGTGCCACAGGACTCACTTCCCAGTGAGTACCAGCAAAGAGCATCTCTGCCTCTCTCCAGGCTGCCACACTAGGGAGTCCTCCCCCAACACAGCTTCCTCAGGTGAGAGCTGAGGGACCGGACCTTCAAGGACAGCACAGCCAGCCCAGTGAGGACCTAGGGCAGCCCCACTCTCCTTCACAAAGTGGGGCTGGAGTATACACTCTGTCTCCACACCCCTGTAGGCCTCTCCTCAGGCAGGCCCACTGAGGGGGCCACTTTGAAGGTGAGGACATGATTCTGACAGTACAGGGACATCCCAGATTGACAATTCCTATAGCAATTATGCAGAGGACCCTTAATAAGGGCTAGGTTCTCCACCAAGGTACCAGGGCCTGTTCTCCGAGGTCCAGGGGCTGCAGTGGAGGACACAAAGCTGGTCTTTTGAAAAGGATGAGTACTCCCCAGGGCTGGGGGAGCTCTGGGATGGTACAGAGAGCTTTGCCTCCAGAGGAAACTACTGCTGACCTGGAAGAGGGAGCCTCTTGGGTGGGGTAGGGGGTCTCTTCCCTCTCCACAAGAAGAAATGAGGGAAGCCACTTAAAACCAACTTTTACTAATTAATTCAACAAATCATTCCCGGGCCCTGCTATGTGCCCAGCACTGAGAATACAGTGTGAATGAGGTCTCATGAAGCTCACATTCTACAGTAAAGAATTAAATAAGCACATCTGGGTGTGATGGCACACACCTGTAATTCCAGCCACCTGGAAGTCTGAGGCAGGAGGATTAAAAGTTCAAAATCAACTCTGGGAAGGAAGGAAGGAAGGAAGGAAGGAAGGAAGGAAGGAAGGAGGCTAAGGGTGTAGCTTGGTAGTAGAGTGTCCCTAGGCTCAATCCCCTCCCTCAAGGAGGAGGAGGAAGAATAAGAAGAGGAGGAGGAGGAGGAGGAGGAAGAGGAGGAGAAGGAGGAGGAAGAGGAGGAAGAGGAGGAAAAGGAAGGCGGTGGCAAACATTAGTTAGGGAACAGTGCTATATGCAGAAAATCACAATAGGAAGGTGTAAGAGGTTAGGAAGTTCTTCTCTGAGAGGTGGCATTTAAGCTCCTAATAATAACAGCCATACCAACAAGGTTCAGAGCAAGAATATTTCAAGCTCAAAAAATGACCAGTGCAAAAACTCCTAAGATAAGCATGAACTTGGCCTCTATGTGTCAGATCAATAAAGAAGGGCCATAGAAACTGGGGTGAGAGATGAAATTAGAGAGGTGGGGAGAGGGGCATGTCCCAGCTCGTGGAAAGCTTAGTAAGCCCGGGTGAGGATTTTATTCTCAGTGAGATGGGAGCCACTGGAGGGTTTTAAGCAGGCAAGTGACATGATCTGATTTATTATTGTAAAAATCACTTGGCCTGCTATGTGGAAAATAGAGTGTCGCCGGCAAGAGGGAAAACAAGGAGGGTTAGGAGGTTACTGCAGTGAGCTGTGCTGGGGACTGGGCCTGGAGTGGTAGCTGTGGAGCAGACAGAGACTGCACCCATTTCCTGGGTAAATAGAATAGGTTGCCCTTATGGATATCCTGGGGGTATCAAAAGAGAAGAATCTGGAAGGAAGTGCTGGAATTTGGTTTGAGCACCTGGGTATATGGTGGATCAAGTTTTAGAGAGAAAACTCATTGGTCTCAATAGGGCAAAAAGTCTGTAAGCCCAGGAGAGCTTTCCTGCAGGAATGGAGTCATAGTCCTGAATTCTAGAAAGAGGAGAAGGTCCTGGGGTGAAGGCTGAGGAGCCTCTGGCATGTGAGTGGTGGCTAGCCCTTGAGTTCAGAGGAGGCATCTGAGGATGGGAAGACAGCCCAGAGCCTAGGGTAGGTAGTCTAACCTCTGAATCTAGGGGAAGAAGAGACCCCAAGCTTCCCAGTTCTAAATCCTCTTCAACCTTCTGCCTTTCTGATGAGGGCTGTGGACTAGGAGTTGGGGATTTGAGAGAAGAAAGAGGAATGTGAGCCCCAAGAGTTTAGGGCTTCTGTCTTGTTTATTACTATACCTTGTTTATTTAGTACCTTCCTGAAACAAGGGAGATTCTCTATAATATCTGTCAAATGAATTAACCAAGTAAAAGGTGTGAATTTCATTGCAGGAATGAGACTAAGTTCCGGGGAACAGGGGATAGGGATTGATCAAGATGCCTGACTTAGCAGGAAATGAAAAAATCTCCTCCTGTGTGGGGGAGTTTCCCTGGCTGCTTCCTCAGTTTTCTACTTCTCTGTGGGGAGGTAAAGCTGGCCAGATGGACATGGATTGATGATGGGCTTGAGGGTGAGCCAGATAGGTGGACCAAATCTGAGGAACTCAGCACTGCTAGAGACTGCCACCAGAGGGCACCCTGGGCACATGACAGGGGATGGAAGCCACGCAGCCAAACCAGACTGCAAAATTTTGCCTTTCCCTCTTCTGAAGGCCTACCCCCTGAGGAATGGGAGAAGCAGGCAAGTTGGAGGTGGGGGGAAGTCACCCAAATTTGCTGAGTTAACTAACCCACTGCTGGAACCTGACGTTATAGAGGGAGCCTAAACTTGCACAAATACTTAACCTTTATCAAGGTCACCAATAAATCTTAAGTCTAATCATAGACTAAACCCAACCCTGATCTTTAGACTTATCCCTCACCCCAGCCCATACTGAGTCCTAACCTTGATCACAGACTGAACTTGACCCTATTCATGCTCTGAGACATTTGCTGACTCCTGACCTTAATCACAAACTGAGCACTGACCCCTAACCTTTACTATATATTGAACACTGATCTTGACACAGACTGAATCTTGATCATGGACACACATTACCTCTTATTTTGGTCATAGACTGAGCTCTGGCCCTGAGAACAGATAGCCCTGACCCTGAGCCATACACTGAGCCCTGACTTATAATATCCTGAGCCTGAATCTGGTCATAGCCTGAACTCTGACCCTGGACAAAGACTGAACTTTTATTGTGGTCACAAATGGAGCCTTGATTTCTAAAACTTTCTCTCCATTGATATAAGGGTCTTCCAGAAAAGGCTCCTGTTAGGACAAGCTTCAGCTCTAGAAGGAAGTAACTCTCAGAACCACTGTTGGAAAGAGAAGAAATTCTGGGTCTCTGGTCCAGAAATTCCTGGGCTTTGGGATCCCAAGAGACCAGGCAGAGAATGGCCAGTTCTAGATGGTCCAGCACATTGGAAAGGGTGGCTGAACTTCTCAAGGTAGCCTAGGAACTAGGAGGGAGTGGGTGTTCTGCCTGTCTAGCTGGAGAGTCAGCTTGAAGCCTCTTCCATCTGCATCTCCCACTGCCTTGAGACTCTTCAACTCGCTCTGCTCACTGGGCTGTTCCCTTTCAGGGAAAATATAAGGAGGTTACACTCCAGGTGATGAGAGTGACACCAGGTCATGTCGGAGGCCCGTGTCCTAACACCTGTGTCCTGACCAGAAGAGAAGCCCCCTTAATCTGAGAGCTCACCTGTCACTCCAAGAAAAAGTGAATGGTGCCCACAGTCACCTCAGATTGGTAGGGGGTGTAACACAAGAAAGAACACAGGGCAGCTA